CAATCATGGCAAGAAAATCTGGCTGTTTCTTCAACTTAGACCCAGTCTGATCAAATGTGACCTGCTTTCTACTTACTACATCTCAGCAGAACAGTGTTAATGGACCTAGGCAAATTAACTTTTCACTATCATATCCAATAAAAACTTTTTCCTATTCTGAACTCTTAACAACTTATGTGATTCTTTAGAAACAAGTCTGACCATCATGAAGTAATGGAAAGGTATATATCCATGTTAGAAGAAATCCTACACATGTTCTTAATACGAAAACTTACCACCATTGTTCGGCCAATGACGGAATGGTCTCCCGAGAGTGAGATCACACGATCTTCAATGGACACATTGGCCACACCATCCTTTCCAGCAGTCACATTGCCCAGGTCTCCCACATGTCTAACATGAAAAGAGCATCAGGTGGATAAGCACTGCGCCCATTTCTTTCACATCAGCAGAGTCAAACGTCAATGGACTAAGAAGTACACAATACATAACCAACATGACCACTTTTCCAGATTGACAGCAGTCTGGAAACAAATTATAAAGCATCTAGCTAGGACACCCTAAACACAGAGATCAAGTTTAAAAGTATGCTCTGGGAAGTCATGATTTGGGCCATACTTCTCATTTCAGGGATTGCAGCAAAGGATGAACTCACCTCCTGAGTTAGAATACTTTAGCAAAGCTTTGCTCCCTCCCAGGCCTCCAGTCCTTTAAATTAGGGCTTTCCTGAGAGGTTTCACATATAAATGGAGTCTCAACTAGCTTCTGCATTAGTGTCCTGTTACACAATGACTTTACTAGTGGGGCTGGCAGTACTGTTTTCTGTACCAGTTCATCTTCAATAAATGCTGCAAAACTAAGTCATATTCAGAGTCCCCATTTGTCAAGACTTTTACCCACCCCTTCCAGCACTTGGGGAAACTGGATGAGTGCAAATAAATACAAAAGCAGAGGTAGGGAGACCACTCGGCTGTCTCACAGGTGGGCTCTCCACCACCGTACCATGGAGCATGCTGCTCACCTCTCTTGATCCGCTGGTCCACCATGTTTCTTGGAGTGAGGATTAAAATGAGGTCCTGCACTGGTACAGCCTATCCACCAGAAACCAGCAGTTAGATTATGAAGCAAACGCCTGTATGTAACAATATAGGCATTTTCACCATTCCCAACACAGAAAACATTGGCCTGGTGTGCTGGTGATAGCAGCAGGAAGCAACTCTGGTATAAACAGCAGGGCTGTATAGGCTCACACACATTCTCAAGCTACCTTCTTCCTCCCCATCCCCTTTTGGTTTTGAGTTTTGAGACAGGGCCTCACTATTACAGCCCAGGATATCTGCAGCCTATGATCCTCCTGCCTCAGCCTTCCAAGTGCTAGGAACAAGAGTGTCGCACCATGCTGGCTCTTACACCTTCCTTTTAAGTGGAACAGATGTCATCTTCATGGCTCTTCTGAAGTTAAAGTCCCACATCTAAAGATCTTGGCTTTTTAAGAAGGTGGCATACCTTTATGATAAAAGCATTTGTCTTTAAAGACCATGTGCCACCCAGCAGCTCACCTATCTGGCATTTACTTGGTTGGGGCAGGCAGATTTCTAAATAAAACCCTATGCCCAAGGGCCAAGGCTGCTGCCCTACACAGCTCAAGGGGTGTAACCAGTAACAACAGGTACACTCGGTCCAAGGGATGCCATTCACAAGGAACACTGATGACAATGCAGGAAGTCCTTTCATGCAGGCTTTCCATTGTTTATGACTTCCACCCAGACCCAGAGAACAAGTACAGGGCAGCATTCAGAAAGGAGTTTAGCAAATCAGAGCTATCAAAGCTAAGGAAAGGCAACTTGGGGGAATTTTAGTAAGTATCAAAATGGATAAAACACGATCATAAGTAACTGTGGAACAAATTATGTCACGTTACACACAAGTTCTTCTGATGCATGCCATATCCAGCACACAAGACTAAAGGAGGGTGGTACAAGTTCCAGGCCACCCTGGGCTATGTGAAGAAGGGAAGGAAGCAGGGAGGGAGAGGTGAAGGGAGAGAAGGAAAAAGCTCTAGCAACATGAGTGAGGTGGTTCTTACAACTATGTGAACAAAATTCAAATTATTCTTCCAATATGGCAAAAAAAAATTACTAAATTTAATTTAACCCATCTCTTTTTACTGACTTGAGAAAATACACCTCATTCTAAGCATCAATGTCCATCTCAGCTCTCATCGCTTCTGTCTCACCACGCCTCTCATGCCAAACACTGTGTCTAAAACCCACTCAACCCCCAGCTCCAAACACCTTAAAGAATTACCCAAAATAAGCGGGAGCTTGATTTTCTTGTTTGTTTCTGTGCTTTGAACTCAAGCCATTATCACAATCAAAAAACATCAACTCCTTCACCTTCTCACACTTAAGGAATCAAACATTACTTCCTCAAGGTTGACTTAAGTGTTATTTTAACTTAAATCTTGAAGAAAGAGGGGGGGGGAGGGAGGCGGGGAGGGAGGGAGGGAGGGGGGGAGGGAGAGGGAGAGAGAAAGAAAAGGAAGTTTACTCTCTTTTAATCGTTAGCAATTGAGTTTTGACTAAGTCCCATTTGTTTTCCTGGTCAGCCAGGTACAGATGGTCACTAGCCAGCATAAGACCAACCTTGTGTATTATCTCCAAACTGATGAACGTGGAACCCATGTTGGCCTTCAGTCAATCCTGTAATTTGTCCTGACACCAAAACTGGTTCACCACTTGCCTTTATTTAAAAAGAAAGCAAGAAAGAAATTAGGGCATCAAGTTTGAATGCAAATGCCTCTGAAAAAAGGGAATTGCTGGTTACACCTTTGCCCTTCACAGTAAAGGCACAAGAGTACCCCCAAACCAAACTAGACAACACTATGCCTGGGTGCATCCACTCCAGCAGCTTAGCTCCAGGCCCCTCTCCCTAGCAATCTCAGCGCTTGCTGTGACACCAGGTCGGCAGTCTCCTGGAATGCACATTTAAAAAGCACCTAGCAGAAGAACAAAACTAAGGGCGCTACTAAATGTCAGGCCTAGGGAGTAGCTGGGCACTGCACTGACTTGTGAGACTCTGGACTTGACTCTCACAGAAACCCACACTGGCTACACCAGGACCTTGTTTTTCACTGAGCACTCAGGTGTTTATCGCGTCCATCTGGGTCTAACCAGAGCTACTTTTTTTAAAAAAATCTTATTAGGTATTCAAACCTAGAGAACATCCCACTTAACAAAAAGAAAAGACAGCAACAACACTGGAGTAGAGAAACCAAGGGAGTATCACCCCCCATCCTCCTCATCCAGGCAGGGCTTGTGATGGTTAACTGAGCTGTAATGTTATGTTCAAAATTCAAACTAGTATAACTCCAGAGAGACTGTAACAAGGAGAAAATGCAAGAAGCCACGGCATTCCTAAAACACACATGCTGATATCTTTCTTTTTATCTTGTTTTTAAATCGCCAACTTTTTCAACAAAATAAGGGACGGCAATTTTGATTTTAGTAAAGCTGGCAACAGGTGAAATCAAACAGCGTTGATAGCCAAATTATTACAAGTGCCAAGCTGGAATGTGTAACTATCCAAGGGTCTTTTTCGGGTACAAAGGGCACCAGGACTATGCAGCTCCTCTGGGAAGGAGGAAGAAGACAGGAACCTGGAATCAGGTGGACCCCTAGCTGGTACTTAGCTTTCTCAGAGCGGTGGACTACATGTGGAGGAGAAAAAAAGGCAAAAACAAAAACAACAACAACAAAAAAAACCTTACACATCAAAAGAGCAAAATGCATTAAAATGTCAAAGGAAGTGCTGACACCGAGCCAGGTGAAGAACTAAATTTCACGTTATCAGTTCTCCCGCGCATAAGGGAGACACTTGCATTCACTAGAGTCCGGCTTCTGACGTTTATGTACAACGTTCTAGAGCGCACAACCACACTCCATTTATCAAATATTCTCTCGGGATTAAGCCAAGTCTAACAAACTCCTCCTGCAGATGGCAACCTCCCCGAGGCTCTGGACACAATCTTACCACAAACACCGGCCCTGTGACGCATGTGTTTCTGCAGTATTACAGTAGTTTTCGAAAATATCTCTCCATACTTTTCTTCAAAAATGTCCCTCAGACATTCGCTGCCCTAAAAACACCCAGTCGGGCGTCTTTCTGGAGCTTTGAGAGCAAAAAAGCCTGAACGACAGTCCAAGGCCATCTTTCTTCCACCCTTCGGCCCGACCCTGACCTAGCAGGCAACAGCCAGGGACGTTGTTTATAACTGCCAGAAACGCCTGCTGCTGCGTTACTCCGAGTCCTCACCACCACGATCGAGTATCTGAAAAACCCATTCAGCCGGTGGCCGCAGAGCCCTGAGCCCGTGGACAGGGACACCGGAAAAGCAGCAGCCCCAGAGAAATAACGGACGCCAAGAGGGCTCTGTCGGGCGGGCCCGAGCGCTCCGGGGCGCGGAAAGGGACCCGCCCGGGAGGCCCCGCGACACCCCGGCCTCCTCCCTCCCTCTTCCCCCGGGCCCAGCCCCTGCCCGAGGCCGCGGTGACTCAGCACCTAGCGGGGCGCAGGCCGCGGCGGGGGCGTGGACGGCTCCCTGCGTCCCAGGTGTGCGGCCTGCGCCCCGCGCCCCGTTCCCCCGGCCCCGCGCTCCCGGGCCTTGCCTTCTGCTCGAAGTGGATGGTGCCCTTCACAGGGCCGTCGCCCTTCAGCACGCACACGGCCTTCATCGCCATGCTTCGCTAGGAGAAGCGCGGCGGCCTCGGGACCCGGAGAGGGCAGGAAAGCCGGAGGACAGAGGAAGACGCGGCTGGAAAGGCCGGCGCAAACCGAGGCCCGGCCGTCGCCGATCTTTTATACGCCCGGGTCTGGCCACGCCCACCCTGGCACGGAACCAATCGTCACCCGCGGGCTCCGCCCACCCAAAGTGGCGCTCCGGGGCCGCGGGGCACGCTGGGGGCGGGGCCGAGGGAAGAGCTGGCTTCTAGAGCGCGGCGGCCGAGAAAGTTCCAGGGGGGGGGAGGCGCCAAAGACGCTATTGTCGCCTCCTCACGCGGACGGTCGCGTTGTCCCCGCGGAAACCCAGAACGCCAGGAGGTCAGAAGCACCCCCGCCTAGAAATGCCGCGTGTGAGCGACTTCGGGGAGCGCGCCGCAGTGGCGCTTTGAAGGCTGGGGTGCGCCCAGGCGCTCGGTGTGTTAGCAGTTTTCTCCCCATGAGGTTAAATTTGTAAAGCCCCTACCCTTTCCCTCAGCTTTCCAAGCCCGCCGCACATAGCCCGTTGCTTCTTTTTGATTTTGTTTCTTTTCCTGGTGCTGGGGATTGGACGACTGACGACCTCCCACGTGGTACACAATTGCTCTACCACTCAGCCATCTTTTTTATTTTAAGGCAAGGTCTCACTGTGCATCCCTGACTGTCCTGGAACTCACACTGTAGACCAGGCTGGCCTCGAACTCACAGAGTTCCGCCTGCCTCAGCCACCCAGAGGCACCACCCAGAGTCTTTTTTATTTTTGAGATAGGGAGTGAACTTGAATTTGAGATCCTGCTGCCTCAATATCGGAATAACTAGAATTGCTTGTCTGCCCTACCATTCGCAGTTAAGTTCTATATATTCTTTTCTTCCCTGTTTGATAGGTCTCTACTTAAGACACCAGAATGGCAACCGAGTGACTCTCAGGAATAGTGCTTTAGTGGCTTAAGCCATGACTGGAGGACAGGAGGCCTGATGAAGTCATTTTCTTTCTTTTTTTTTTTCTTTTGTTTACTCATTTTTAATCATGTGTATCTGCATGTGGGTAGGCTATGCATAAGTGCAGACGCCAGGGGCATTGCATCCCCCAGCAGATGAAGTTGTGGCTGTGACCCACCTATATGGGTGCAGTGAATTGAATTTAGGTCCTCTGCAAGAGTAGTGTGTGCACTCTTAATTGCTGAGCTATCTCTCTGGCCAACTGCGGTATCTTCAACAATTATTGCTACAGAGAAATTCCTTCACCATAACCAAGCATTCTAAATTTTATTCCAAAAAATTATGTGTTAAGATTAAGATGTCTATAAAGATGTCCATCATTACAATAAAGATCCAACTGGACAGATACGACAAGGACCCAATTCAGTATGTAATGTCCTATTTCCCCGATGGGCAAGTTAAAGAAGAAAAAAATAACAAAAAACCTTTCCAGGGTAGAAGGCCAGGACCACGCCTAACTGAATTGGTGCCTCTAAGTAGTTATAAAATCCGTGATTTTGTTTATTTATCCTTTTCTTTCTGTTCTTTTTCTTTCTTCTCTCGCTCAGCTTTAGCTTCTTCCTCCTTGTGTTTTTTGATCAACTGTTCTACTTCCTTCTGCTTGAGGACTCTGATCACAGTCTTTCCATTCTCTCTTGTTAGTGTGGCGATCTTCACTTTCTCAGCTGACAGTTTACTAACATCCATGGTCTTATTTAGCACCTTGATAGCGAGAGCAAGTGCCGACTTCAGAGTCATCTCTCCTTCTTTGTAGTCTTGTTTCAATATTGACACGGCTGCCGCACTGTTGTTCCCGATACACGTGGCTTTCCATCCCCCGTAATTTCCACTTGGGTCACTCTGATAGAGCTGAAAGCCATAGTGTTTATCCCAGCCAATGTACAGCAGAGAAACACCAAAGGGACGCTTTCCTCCAAACTGTGTATAAGCCTGTTTGATATCACACAGTGCTGTAACCAACTGCTCACACGGAATTGGCTCCTGGTACTGTAATAAATACCTTTGGGCAATGAGCCTTAGTTCATTAGTCAGGACGTTAGCATCAGATGTGATGCCTGCCACACTGCAAGCCATGTCCTCATTAAGTTTGTAGATTTTTTCAGAAAAAAAGACTTCGTCCAGAAGCTTGTGGATGTTGCGCCGCTCTGCGGCAAGCAGGACTCCATCATTGGCTAAGATCCCCAAACAGGTGCCAGCGTGCCCGATAGCTTCCATGGCATACTCCACCTGGTACAACCGACCTTCTGGAGAAAATATTGTGGTCCTGGAGTCATATCTTCGAGACATGGCTGCTGAACTTTATGTAACTCCGGAGGAAGACAGTGAGGGGTGCAGATCGGCGCCGCTTTACTCAGCTGGAGAAGAACCAACCCGGATGGCCAAGCATCCGCGGCGAATATGGCTCCCGAGCGTGCGCAGAACTGTCCTGAAGTCATTTTCGATACCTCCATACAACAGGTGAAACACAGTCTGTCAAGGGAAAGATTTCTAAGTTCTATGGACTGAGCAAAGGGTGCAACTACTTCTGAACTATCTAGAAAGACCTAGAGAAGTCACTGTAGCTAAGAAGGGGCCTCAAGAAGAGATGAAATTCTTTTTTTTTTTTTTTTTGCCTTAAATCTTTTTTGTTTTTATTGCGCTATATCTTTTTCTCTGCCCCTTCCTCCCTCCTCCCTTTCTGCCCTCTCCCATGATTCCCCACGCTCCCAATTTACTTGGGAGATCTTGTCTTTTTCTACTTCCCATGTAGATTAGATCCATGTATGTCTCTCTTAGGGTCCTCATTCATTCTCTAGGATTATGAATTATAGGCTGGTTTTTCTTTACTTTATGCCTAAAAGCCACTTATGAGTGAATACATATTTGTCTTTCTGTGTCTGGGTTACCTCACTCAAAATAATGTTTTCTAGCTCCATCCATTTTCCTGCAAAATTCAAGCTGTTATTTTTTTCTGCTGTGTAGTACTCCTTTGTGTAAATGTACCACATTTTCCTTATCCATTCTTTGGTCAAGGGGCATTTAGGTTGTTTCCAGGTTCTGGCTATGACAAACAATGCTGCTATGAACATAGTTGAGCACATGTCCTTGTGGTATGATTGTCCATTCTTTGGTATTTTGTGGTATTGCTGAGTCTAGAGGTAAGTTGTTTCCAAAATTTTCTGAGAAATCGCCATACTGATATCCAAAGGGGCTGTACCAGTTTCTACTCCCACCAGCAATGGAGGAGTGTTCCCTTTACCCCACAACCTCTCCAGCATAAGTTGTCATCAGTGTTTTTGGTTTTGCCATTCTTACAGGTGTAAGATGGAATCTCAGAGTTGTTTTGATTTGTATTTCTCTGATGACTAATGATGTTGAACATTTCCTTAAGTGTGCTTTAGCCATTTTAGATTCCTCTGTTGAGAGTTCTCTGTTTAGGTCTTTACCCATCTTGGATTATTTACCCTTTTGATGACCAATTTCTGGAGTTCTTTGTATATTTTAGAGATCAGACCTCTGTCTGATGTGGGGTTGGTGAAGATCTTTTCCCATTCTGTAGGCTGTCGTTTTGTCTTGTTGACCGTGTCCTTTGCTTTACAGAAGCTTTTTAGTTTCAGGAGGTCCCATTTATTAATTGTGTCTCAGTGTCTGTGCTGCTGGGGTTATATTTAGGAAGTAGTTCCCTGTGCCAATGCGTTCAAGTGTACTTCCCACTTTCTCTTCTTTGAGGTTCAATGTGGTTGGCTTTATGTTGAGGTCTGATCCATTTGGACTTGGGTTTTGTGCATGGTGATAGATATGGATCTATTTTCATTCTTCTACATGTTGATATCCAGTTATGCCAGCACCAGTTGTTGAATATGCTTTCTTTTTTCCATTTTATATTTTTGGCTTCTTTGTCAAAAATCAGGTGTTTGTAGGCATGTGGTTTGATATCTGGGTCTTCTATTCGGTTCCATTGGTCCTCCTGTCTGTTTTTATGCCAGGCTGTTTTCAGTGCTGTAGCTCTGTAGTAGAGTTTGAAGTCAGGGATTGTGATGCCTCCAGAAGGAGAGCCTTAATTCTAAGAGTTCTCTATCATTCTGAGCTTTTGTTCCCTTTCTACTATAGAAGCTTGTTCTTTTTTCATGGGTCCCCTACCCTCTTTCAACTCTCCAAGAATAACCATACTGTAGTGTATCCTGTTTGTAAGCGGCTTCACGTGAGTTCCAGGCCTTCCTTATTTACTTTGTTTAGCTCCTCCCAGGCTTTTCTGAAGTTTGGTGGTCTGAGGAATGTTCACATAGATGAATGAGCTACACCACATGTTTTGTACAAGAAACAGGGCTCTTGTCTGGCAGTTGTCATTGCAATGTGCTCTGGCAGGAAGACTCTCCAGACATCGAGTATTTGAGTATCTGGAAGTCCCTTGGCTTCTCTGATGAATAATTGTCAAACCTGCCCGAAATGTTTGTTTACCTGCAAGTATTCTAGGAGCTGAGAGGCACACAGTGGTAGCCATTTCCCCCTTCTGTATCCAGGCCTGCGTGAATTTCAGCTTTCCAGGACAGAGTGGACAAGATAGAGGATGGAACTAAGGATCGTTACAGAATTTCAACCTTCCTCTTCCCCCTACCTTACTCCACAAATACATACACATGCACACACACATACTGCTTGTAGCCCTGTAGTAGAGTTTGAAGTCAGGAATTGTGATGCCTTCAGAAGTTCCTTTATTGTACAGGATTGTTTGGGCTATCCTGGGTTTTTTGCTTTTCCATATGAAGTTGAATGTTGTTCTTTCGAAGTATGTGAAGAATTTTGCTGGGATTTTGGTGGGCATTGCATTGAATCTGTACATTGCTTTTGGTAAGATTTAAAGTTCTTGTCACACAGGTCTTCCACTTGTTTGGTTAGAGTTACTCCGAGATATTTTATGCTATTTGTGGCTATTGTGAAAGGTGATGTTTCTCTGATTTCTTTCTCAACGCATTCATCTGTATAAAGGAGGGCTACTAATTTTTTTGAGTTAATCTTGTATCCTGCTACATTACTGGAGATGTTCATGAGTTGTAGAAGTTCCTTGATAGAGTTTTGGGGTCACTTATGTAAACTATCGTATCATCAGCAAATAGTGAGAGTTTGACTTCTTCTTTGTTGATTTGTATCCCCTTGATCTCCTTTTCGTGTCTTATTGCTCTAGCTAGGACCTCAAATACTATATTGAATAGATATGGAGAGAGTAGGCAACCTTGTCTTGTTCCTGATTTCAGTGGGATTGCTTTGAGTTTCTCTTCATTTAGTTTGATGTTAGCTTGCTGTATATTGCCTTTATTATGTTTATGTATGTTCCTTGTATTTCTGCTCTTTCCAAGACCTTTATCATGAAGGGTTGTTGTATTTTGCCAAAGGCTTTTTCAGCATCTAATGAGATGATCATGTGGTTTTTATTTTTTAGTTTGTTTATATGGTGGATTACGTTGACAGGTGTTCATATGTTGAACCATCCCAGCATCACTGGGATAAAGCCTACTAAGTCGTGGTAGATGATTTTTCTGATGTGTTCTTGAATTTGGTTTGCCAGTACTTTACTGAGTACTTTTGCATCAATGTTCATCAGTGAGATTGGTCTGTAATTCTTTCATAGTAAAAATAATTTGGCAATGTTCCTTCTGTTTCTATTGTGTGGAACAATTTGAGGAGTATTGGTATCAGTTCTTTGAAAATCTAGCGGGATTCTGAGCTGAAACCATCTGGTTCTGGGCATATTTTGGTTGGGAGACTTTTGATGACTATTCTATTTCTATTCTTTCACTGTTGTATGTCTACTTAATTTGCTTATCTGCTGTTGATTTAATTTTGGTAAGTGATATTAATCCAGAAAATTGCTCATTTCCTTCAAGTTTTCCAATTATGTGGAGTATAGGCCTTTGCTGATTTTCTGTATTTCCTCCTTGTCTGTCTTATATCCTCCTTTTCATTTCTGATTTTGTTAATTTGCATATTCTCTCTCTGCCTTTTGGTTAGTTTGGATAAAGGTTTCTCTAATTTGTTGATTTTCTCGAAGAACCAGCTCTTTGTCTCATTGATTCTTGGTATTGTTTTTGTTTGTTTGTTTCTATTTTGTTGATTTCAGCTCTCAATTTGATTATTTCCTGCCATCTACTCCTCCTGGGTGGGATTGTTTCTTTTTGTTCTAGTTTCCAGGTGTTCCGTTAACTCACTAGTGTGGGATTTTTCCAGCTTCTTTATGTAGGCATTTAGTGTTGTGAACTTTCCTTTTAACACTGCTTTCATTGTGTCCCATAAATTTGGGTATGTTGTGTGGTCATTTTCATTGCATTTTAGGAAGTCTTTAATTTCTTCCTCTATTTCTTCCTTGACCCACGGGTGATCTATGTGAGCATTATTTAGTTTCCAGCCGGCCCTGATGTGAGAGACTCACAGCTCACATTCTCTCTTGAGGCACTCCCTGCTTTGTCATCCTTCAACTCACATCCTGCCCTTAATGGTCATGCTTAAAACTTTATGGAAACCGTTGTTTAAGGAGTCTGTGTAAGATAAAAGGATGGTATACATGTCTGTGGTTTCGATTGTTATTGGCGTTCTCCAGATAACTTGCGTGTATACTGGAGAGTTACATAAACACAAATCCCAGCCAAAGGGCCTTTGCCCAAAGCCAGACTTCCTTTGGGTTCCAGGAAGTCAGAGTTGGGTTTCAGTTCATTGTAAACTTGCCGAGAAAGCAGGCCATGGGTACAAAGGGCCTCCCTGGAACAATGATCACCACTTTTGAAACACTCAGTGAGGCTGAAGTGGTCTCGTTTGGCTCCTGGGAAGTCAGACAAGGGCTTCCCATTCCACATGATTAGAGGAGTTGACCTCCCTCCCCAGGACCTGCACAAAGGGGTCCCCAGCAGAGGTGGAGAGAGAACTGCACTTTTCCTCAGGCAGCATCTCTCAGGTGAAGCCAAGAAGGTACCCTCACCTAGAGCCTCACCTCTCCTCCTAAAACAGGAGTACAGAATTTTAGTGGCTAGATATTTAATAGTATTTGTGTTCTATAACCTTCACACTGTTGACATTTTATCTACATAAATTATGGTAGCAGTCCTGTATGTTGTATGCTTAGTAACATCCCTGGCCTCTTCTCACTGAGTACAAGAAACACCCTTGCTCACAAGCTGTGACAAACAGAAGTGTCCCCAGACATTCAGCTCTTCCTTATCAGAGCAGGGTGTCTAGAGGTTAGACCCAGGTCCTTCCACGTACATACGAGAGAGACGTGGACTCTACCAGGCTGAGAACTCCTGTCCTGAGACACTAGCTGAATGCTCATGATCTTGGCAGTCCCTACTCAAATTGCCCTGTATTTTTCCAGGGCCTAAAGAGACTGTCACTGAAGGTACACAGCTGAGCTAGCTATAGCTTTCTCTCTCTCCGTGAGATAAGGAGCCAGGGGTAGGGGAAGAGGAAATGCCAAGGGCAGGCAGGCAGCTGTACCTGCCCCTTTCCTACACAGAACTCAAAAGTCCAAGAATTCCAGATTTGAACTTGCCCTTTGGAGTTTATAAAATATATTTGTTAAGGCAGGATGAGAGTGTAAATTTGACATAAGACATCTGCTGGGCATATTCCGTCTAAATGTTTCATGCATTCTTATGCCGGTCAGTT